TGCATTTAAATCCACTGACGTTTTCTCACAGTTTCTCTACAGCAGTGAGGTTTTGATCATGAAGATACTTCTCTGTAATATTGGACTTCTATTTCAGACTTTGCTTCTGTCAATCAGTCGCATTCTTGTAATGTGACGACTCCATAGTCTATGAGCAGATAATCTGATCATGTTTGGCAACAATCTACCAAAAATCAAGTTTGTCTAAAGTTTGGATCCAGTACCAAAACCTCGGATTTGGTCATTTGTTGGCACCTGACAATATTAGAGTGAAAACAGACATAATGTGGGGAAAATAATGAACTGGTATTATTCATCCAGTTTACTTGCTGTAGTTTCAGCTTCGTCTGAGAGTCTTCAGCCATGCTAGGTTCTCCCTGTTCCCAGTCACTCTCACTGGGAGAGCACCTCAGATGTCACCACAGACAGACGCTCATCAAGCTGCAAACAGCACAGATGTAAAGAAAAGGTTTTCCACACCAGCCATGATGAGAATGAAAGCACGTTCCTGTAAAGTGAACTCACTCTGACTGACTTTGTGGCAAAGTTAAAAACACGCTAAGAAAAGCTGCTGAATTCAGAGGCAGAAAACCAAAGACTGTTAGCTTACACTACTACCATCGATGGAACAAGATGATCACATTTTGAAGCTTCACCATTAGCGTTTCAGCTATGAAGGGTTTTTGGAGCAAGAAGGTGAAGGGCTGGAGTCGTAATGTAACAGCTGACACTAGCTTCACAGGTTGCACAGGCTTAAAAAGTGATCCGCATGTCTAGAACTGCGCAGCTTGTTTTATAACATCATAGTAGTTTGATCACACGTAGAGAGATAAATATAATAAGTACATTTACATTCACACGGATGTCTTCCTTTATTCCTCTTTCATGATGCCAACACATGCTGGCTCACTGGGTTTCTCCTATTGTGTGACTGGTTCTATTCAGAGGGATATTTTTATTAAGTGAGGAAGTAAACCCGGCTCACGTGAAAGGCCAAAGGTCTCATCTTACACATTAAAGGACAAACGCACACAAACTGAGAAGAAATAATAAAGGTGACGGGGCTCTAAGTCAGCTGACAACACAAAAACTTACACTGACCACCCCCCGCCACTTTCTCTCTCTCACACACACACACACACACACACACACACACACACACGCACACACACACACACACACACGTTGATAATACCTTCTTCCTTTTTGTCCCTCTTTAATTGTTCTTCATCTGAACCATCATTCCCCCGTCTCCCACTCATCCTCTTTACTTTCTCCCTCCCTCGGTTTCTAATGTCCCTGGTTTCTTTGCCCCCCCTCCCTCATTTTCCTGTCCTTAGATGCTTTACTTCCTGCAGTTGTCTCAGCTAAAAACGATAGAGATCATCTAATTTAATACTTCTGGCTTCTATTGAGGCCGTTATCTAGAAAACAAAACAAGATGCATGTACAGCATGATAGATGATTTTACTACTATTAAAACTATTACTACTGCCATTATCCATTTATTTTTAATAAATAAGCCTTCCTCCCAGATGTAAGCACGGCTCTCTGCTGTGCTGCTGTTGTCGGGTCAGAGGATGAGATGAGCTGGCAGAGGAAATAAAATGAGTGTTTGTGTCGTCTCTAACAAAGAGCAGGAGGTCTCACGCTGAGCTGACACGGATCTGATTCAGACAAACGCGAGTGGCTCCCGTCCACTCGAGACCCGACTCCGTGCCCTTTGAGAGGGCAGCACTGATGCAAACACACACATACATATTCATGCGCGCCATGTCACAGCCATTAAAATGCACAAGGACACACCACCTGATATCATGCTAATGAGCTCTCCTGTGTGTCTGAGTCACTGAACATGATGTCAATAAATATCAAAATGTTTTGTTCCTGTAAGTTTAAAAGTACGTTTTCATACGGCTGAATTATTTCGACTGCAGGATTCGGTGAGAATATTTTCAGCTTTCCAAACTTTCACTGAATACTGAACAAGCTCTGACTCCTGTTTTCCATATATTGATTATTATGATGAGGTCATCACATTATATTTGAGACCTCTGCATGGAAATCTCAGGAATTATTTACTTATTAATTATTCATCATTTAAACATTCACACTGGGAAACTGTACTTTCTGTCTGCAGGGTTAATGTTTCTAAAGGAGAATATTTTGGCACAAACAACAAAGCGCACTAAATAATGAAATGAAATAAAATCCAGTTTGGTGCCAAACTCAAACACGAGAAAATCTGATGCCAAAAAGCAGAAGAGGAACTTTATTATTTTTTATTGCATTCAAGAGCAGAGATGTGCACCACGACTGAATAGACACAGCACCACCTACAAACACCACCTTGTGGTGTGCAGAAAGAACAAATCCAGTGCAAACAAATTCCCAACATCTGCTCTCAAGGTGATTTAATCGGGGCTGTTTCCACTTGACATTTTGCTTCAGGGAGTCCTTTGTGCTGTAAAGGATTTATTTACATCCGTGACAGAAGAGTCAAAAGTCAACATGCTGTTGTTTCCAGTCACCATCACCGTGCTAGCATCAGGTGCCGCCTGAGAGAGTGGTGTCAACTCAGTAATACGAGTGCACTTCACAGCACAATCAAAATGCTATTAATATTGTAATTAGATTTCTGTTAATTAAAAATTACAGGGCGTATGCAGCCTGGGGAGATTTATCTACCCTCATTTTCCACCGTTAACCATCTTCAGGAGCAAAACTGACAGTTTTACCGCAGCTCCTCTGAAACACCTGTTTGCACCTGATCCAAATCTTCTGGTCCAGGCTTTCAAGTGAACAAGTTCAACGCCATATTTTCTCTATTATATTTAGCTCTACTGCACCTCGTTTCCCTGACACAAGGAAGAAGTCCACATTTTTCAAGTTCCACTTGAAAACACAAAGCTAATTAAGGTGACAGCTCGGTTCTGTGTGGTCTGACTGACTCTGATGAGCTTTCTGGAGGAAATGACCAATTAAATCCGAGCTAGTCTTACAGCTGATTAATGTGAAGGTGTTCATCACCATCTGAGCTAGTCACCTGCTTTCCAGCGCTGCGACGGGCGCTAAAGTGATTTCGCTGATGTTAATTTGCAGCGGAGACAAATGCACGCTGTTGTGACATGATTTTCAGGCGTGGGAGGTTAGACCACGCACATCAGAGCACCGAGGTCCATTTCTCACAGCAATGAGCTGATGCATCCCAAAGTTATGATGGACGATGTGAAAGCGCGGACAGAAACGTTCACATCATAAAACTTAAAGCACAACAACAGGGCTGAAGCGCTGCACGGTCACAGCGCAGAGCGCAAAAGATGAAACACACGTCTTTCATCTTTTACGCTCTGGCCTGCGAGACTTAAAACTAAAAGGATTTTAAAATGTTCGTAAACAATCTGCTAAACTTGCGCTCTTACTGTGACTGAGCAATGGAGGCCCGGCTAACTCTGATACAAATCAAGCTGCAGCAATCGAGACAAGGCTTGATTTTTGACAGCAGCCACAACTGGAACAAAATCAGGATTTTACCCGTGCTTACATGTACTGTTGGATCATTTTCATACCTAAATGTGTCTGGTATGAGTCTGTGGAGGTAAACTTAGAAACTCTTTGCATTGCTTATGCATTTTTATTCTATCGAGCTTCTACTGAATCTGCTTTGTCCTGTTTTCTCAGTGTCACAGTTTGGATCCTCATCTGTAAAGAGCAGAAACTCATTCAGTCAAATTGATAGATGCTGAAGCTGATCAGCTGATCGGACAGCTTAACCCAACATCCCTGTTCACGGCACGACTACAGCAGATATTCGGTTTCACTTCAGGACTTCATCACTGTTTGCCAACTCCGCTGAGATTTGGTTTCTTCCATCTGGACAAAAGCTTTTAAGTCCCAAAGTGCTGAGCAGTTCAGAGTATAACAACAGCTTTGTTCCAGCAGCCACCACTCAGATGAACAAATCGCAGCTTTTATATATCTTACATGATGTGGAAGCAATTTTCCCCAGCGCTGTGTTGTAATACACTTATCTGTTGTTTGTGTCGCTTTGAAAAATGTGCATTTGAGGATGGATGACTTACCTGCTGCAAACCAGATCTACCTGTGGGTGCAAATAAAGAAAACCGAAGCTGAACTTGAGATATTTTCAGAAAGAAATTGTGTCGAAATGAACACCGGCTGCAACAAGTGCATCATCACCATCATCCTCGAACGGCAATACCAACATAAGCACCACGCTTTCATCCTCTTTCGTGTCTGCGACGGCGTCACCTCCCCCCCCGCACATATTAATACCCCTTAATCATCGTCATCCTAATCACTGCAGGGATCCTCATCCTCGACACTCACATTATAATCAGCACCATTGTAACATTCATCAGCATCATTATCAATACCAGTCATATCCATTATCGTCACAACAGTCGTCTCATCACCAGCATCAACATCATCGTCATTAACTGCAGCAAAACAATCAGCATCCTCCAGTCTGAGCTTCATCATCCACATCATCACGGCCTTTTCTGCAGCCACGAGCGTACACAAACAAATGTGTTCACAGCCACACGAGCTCCTCTCAAAGCTGAGAGGCCGTCTGTGCAGCTGGGCTCAGTGCTTCCCCCTAGCTTCCTCTGCAGGGAAAACAGCGAGGGAGAGAGAGAAGACGGAGAGAATGAATCTCAGAGGAAACCCTGAGAAACAGGAAAGAAGAGGCAAAGGACGGGCTCTGTGGAGCTGCATGAAAGACAAACAGCGTCCTCTGAGAGCTCTGGCAGAGCGGCTGCAGCTGCCGTGATTTAAACAGCATTTAGGAGGTTGATACCTGGGTCATTAGCTGTGAGGATACCTCAGCGAGAGGCGGCACCCGCACAATCTAAAGATTAACAGTCCAAGGCAGGAGTGTAAGAAGCAAGGAAAGCAGGAAACTGCAGAAAGCACTGCGGTCGAAAATCATCTGACACTACCGCCATCACGTGACGTAAACGCAGCAGCGGCCTTACCTTCCTGCACCGCCTGGAAAGGGTTGTTGGGCGCGATGAGTTTAATCGAGTGTGTGATCTTCTCACTCTGCAGGATGTCGTCGTTCAGACTGAGGTCAGACACGGCGAGCTGGAACACCTGATCATCCTGCACTGCATTCTCCTCAAATATCGCACCTGGACAGGTAGAAACAGGAAGTGTAAACAGGTTAAGGACTCAAACACTGCTCTACTGAAAATACCACCAAAATATCATTTTATTATCTCCACAGGAAAAAAAAAAAGAATATCTCAGCAAAAATCAGTATTCAAATTTCCTGTCAGCTAGAACACATGGTCTCCGGTCCTTTATCAGTACAAACCACTGAACTCCTGCAGTCACTAACAGTGTTGTGTATACCATCACCAAAGAAGCGCCATACTGTAATTACTGTAAGGTATGAATGTGCTAAGCATTCTCATGACAGCTACTAATCAAAGAATTACACGTGGTTTATCGTTTCTTCAGTCATATCCACGATGGGGGGACAGAACAACAATCTCAGTTCATGCCGGACTTTGGACAAAGACGTCGGAGCTGCTACCCTAGGCCCGGACAATATGAGAAAAACCTAATATCAAGATTTTTTTTGGGCGGGGGGGCTATATCGCAATACATGATACAAATCACAATATGTTTAAATATCCTTGAAAAATAAATGTTATTTTTAACCATATAGTGCCTAAAACTGCACGGGTACACTCATTTATGTCAACTATTCAGTATTTTTTTCCTGCTTCAAATACAAGAAAATCTGAATAAAATGTTTTATTTTAACCAATTTTTAACCATCAATTACTGTGACAGCAAGTCTCTCGCTGTGGTCAACAGCAGACCTTTAACAAACAAACAAAAATACATCAAGAAAGAATTCACGAGACAAAATAAAACAATTGAAATTAAAAAAAAAAAAAAAAAAAAAAAAGGTGTTCTTTGCTACTTGTAAGATATAAAAATGTATAAAATATAAAATGTGATGAACTCAAATTACAGAAATAAAATCTAGATAGTGACTAAAAAAACGACTGATCTAGAGCAGTCACGGGTGGCACCGCTGGTTTAATTAACGTTTTCTTTGGTGTGTGGGGAGATGTTGATAGGCAGTTTAAGACTGTTTTAATTATGCAGTGTTTAATAACCCTTATGGTGTTATAGCACCACTCGGTGGGGGGTTGCCCTACTGTTGTCTCCTAGTGGGTGTGTGAGTACAGCGGCAGCTATTACATCCTGCTCGTGTTCTGTTCTCAGGAGAAACCTTACCGATGTAACGCTGTTTGATTTAACTGACTGGCTTCGAGCTATCCGGCTAACCTCCACACCACACGCCCGCTGGACCTACTAGCTGCTCCTTCATCGCCAGACTGCCGTTACAAGTGGAATAATTTCAGGGTACTGCTACCCTTTGTTTTGCATTTAGTTCGACATCCAAACAGCGAGTCTCTTACTCTTGCTCGTCTGAAACTCCTGCCGTCGCCATATTTTCCCCTCTCTGGTAGCATATAAACACACATGCTCAGCGCAGTGCACCAGGTAGAACATTTTCAGGTTGGGAGGGGTTATTAATGATGTATTCGCAGCGTGTGGGAAAAAATACTTACAGTAAATTACATGTAGATGGCTTAATATTGCCATGGCAACTGAGAGCCATTTTAACTATCGCATGCAGAACAACTCGCGATACATCGAGTATATTCGATATATCGCCCACCCCTACTTCCCCTGTTCCGTTTTTTGAAGAGACAAGAATGATGCTAAAGAGCAGACCATGTTCAGCCACCTGAAACCCCCCAAAACAAGAACTCCTTTCTTACACAACATCGATGATGCAAACAAACCACTAAAATCCCAAAAGCGCTACAGTTGATTTCAATCGTGTCCTTGAATCCGTCTCCTCACATACAAGCACAAGTTATCGAGTAATCAGACCACATATCTTAAAGACCTCAGTAGAGCTCTTCTCTCTCAGACTGTCGGTTTACTTGCGCTTCCTCTGTTTTTTTAAAAGTAAAATGGGAGGTAGAGCCTCCAGCTATCAAACCAGTAGCGGGGTCTGATAGTAGATATCAACAGCTGCTGCAGCTGAGAAAGACTTCAGGATCTGGGTGGAGTGTTTTACTGCACCACGCTCACGAGCCCCATCGTTGAGATGATGCATGCATTTCATTTTATGAAAAAGCCAAAGGGGAAATCGTGGTGAGAAAATGAATAATAAACATGTATAAAATGAGCTTCTGTCCGGTTTTAAACATCTATGCGAGCGGATCGAGGGCAGAAATGGACCAATAGGCCTAGAGAGGGGCAGACGGGTAGACAAATGGACGGGCTGATGAAACTTTCCAGATTCTGTTTGGGAAATTTGTCACGCACAATTAAGAAATTCCTGCCTACGAGTGAGAATTCAATTTGCCAGACTGCTTGTGCTCATTCATCTCTCCGAGTATCCAAATGAACTCTGCTCAGCCTCGCTGTGGATTTGAAGGCCTTCCTCGCAGGGGACGCTGCCAGCTTCTGGGCTTGATCAATCAATCATCCACTTTTGAAATTGCAGTCAGTCGGGCGTTTTCAATTAAGAATGAGGCTTGTCAGAGACACGGTGGGGGGATTGATGTGAGGTTTATATTTCTGCTCGCAGCCACAGCAAACTGGTGAGCCTCAAACTTCAACAAGTTTAATTAATAATGAGTGCCAAGGGGAGAGGAGGTGGACTGTAGACCCACGGGTCTCTCTGTGAGCTCACAGTCAAACCTCCCAGGCTCTCTGCCACTGTCTGCTGCAAGGAAACTGGCACAATTAAAGGGCAAGTTCATCCAACAGGCTAAAACACACGACTCCCCCACTAAACACCAGCCACACCATTAAAGGTCCCATTACAGTGATTTTTAGTTTTAGTGTCGTTATTTTCCTCTGTATTATCGGTTCTGCCATTGCTTAGCTAACATAAACGAATGCAAGTCGGTTAATAAAAAGCATAGCATTATTGAAGCACTGCAAATTATTTAATCCCAACAGCCCCAACCAACCAACCACATGATGTCACGTTCCACACTGACAGAAGATGGCGCTAAACGTGTTTTGAAACTTTAAGCTCTTCTTTCTTAAATCCAGCTTCACACCATGTCAGGTTATGAGAGCAGGGCTCAGTGGTGTAAATTAGCCTTGTGTCGCGTTTCATGTCCCCTTTAAAACCTCTGACTGATAAAGAAAACAGCGAACACGATCATCTGCCGGGGAGTTAGACAGCACCTAAACATTAGTGCAGACCAAACACTCGGTGAAGTGCAATCAATCTAAAGTCGAAGAAACACAACAAAGAGTTGAAGGCTGATTAATGAGCCTCAAAACTCTTTGATCCCAATTACAAAGGGCAGATTTTAGAGTTGCTGACTCGGCAGTTTTTGGTGGCAGAAAGTGGGGCTGACGCAGTAATAAGCAGCCGGGTGACTGAAGAGTGGAGCTTAAAGAGTAAAGTATGACCGTATGTTCTGAAGATTATTCACATATGTAGGCTTCTTCCTGTTAAAAGGGTGGTTTTCCTTCTCACTGTTGCCAACTGCCTACATAGCGGGTGGCAACTGGGTTGACCATCTTCCGTGGGATTGTGCAGCTCAGTAAAGGAGGACCTCGGGGTTTCTCCGGCTGAGCTGGTCCTTGGTCAGCCTCTCCGTGTTCCTGGGGAGTTTTTGCCTGAGTGTTTCTGGGGACACAATAATGTGACGGACCAGCTGTGGAAGTGACAGAAACCAGCAGAGGATTCATCACTGCTGTGAGAAAAAGATGCAGGTGATGGGAGTTTTAATCAAGCTAACAGTAAATAGCTGTTAGCTCGTCACACTTCCACTGTGTTTCCTGAGTTTTGTTGGTTTTTTGGTTGATCATTTTCCCTTCAGAGAGTGTGGAGGGCAATGGTGGTAAAATGGGAGGTGCCCTGGGATTGATCAAGTCCAACAGATTGTTGCTTCTGGAATGGACCAATGATTGAAGCCTTTTTACGTTCCAGTTTACTAGAGAGTGACGAGAGGACAGCAAAGCAGGGAGAGTGTGAGGGAAGACACGCAGCAAAGGGCCGCTCGGCTGGTAGCTAGCGACTTTAACTACCTGCAAACAAATCAACACGTTCAATGCAAACTCCAGGGGAGCAGCTTGCTGCTCTGTTTAAGGCTCAGCTCCCTCTTTGTGACTTGATAACAGAAAGCAATCAGTTCAGGAATACACATTTTTCCCAAGCATAGCTGCTGCCAACTGATCTCCAGTCCTGTGTGGCCGAGGCCTTAGGAGGTACTAACCAGGGGATCCGTGGTTCAATCTCAGTCTTCCAGGCTGCATGTCGAAGTGTTCTTGGGCAAGATAACGAACGCCTTGTCTCAGATCTGTAACAGACTCAGCAGCTAGCATGTGGGGAAACACAAGTTTAAAGATGTGTGGGTCCAAGATGTGCTGATAACTTTTTAAAATTGGGAATCCAAGCAGCTGAGCCACATGTGAAACCAGAAAAGCTCCAAAGGCGCTCGAGTCTTTCATGTCTGCCGTTATAAGCCCCTGTTCAAACACAGACGTGCGCGCCGTTCAGCTCAGATGTTTCATTAAAGTTTGCTTTAACCGTCGCTGCACTGAGGCCTGAGATGTCACGGCTCCTGCTCATATTAAGTCGGCACCAGTTCTATGAATCGCTCTGCAAGCACGTTTCAAGGCTGTGTGTCCTGAATCAGGACAATTGAAGACATTTGACATTTGTAAAGACACGATTTGAAGTTTCCACCAACCCTGATCCAAGTGTTCGGTTCACTACATCAGACTGAGGATATTCAACTTTAAATTATGACTGTTCACTAAACAGCTGTGCGGATTACTTTATTAATGAACAGGTGAATTGCATCTTACGGGTTATTTTCATCTCTCTCACAGCACAAACCTCCTCCAGTGTAACTCCACCCATCCTGTTTCCTGCTTCTTCGCCATGCTGTTCCCAACAAAAGCAAACATATGTCCTGCCATACATGCACCGCCTGCAAACTCTTTCGTCTGCCTACACTCGAGTCCTAAAACCGCAACAAAAGAGCCGTCGCATGTTTAACACCTGCTATAGTGAGTTGCACAAATCACCCCTGCAATCCGCACTCGTTTCAAAAATCCCGGCGTC